TGAAGCAAACTGCTGGGGACCATCACGCACATACACACATCAGAGGCTCTATTCTAACAGTCTGAAGTGCATGGTGCAAGTGAATGCTTCCCTGCAGAGCCTCATTCATATGTAAGAGACATCCATGATGCCTGGTAATGTTATGCAACACACAATGTGTCACAAACAATGCTGCGACCTTCTGGGGCTGTATTGTAGTGTTCTACCTGACTTACATCCAAACATCTGAAGCATATTTTCGGCACACTCTGCTGGTGCGTGCGAAGTGAATGCGTGTTCTGCACACGCCTATAATATAGGCACATATTACTGTCTTGATCAATCACACATTCACTCTCCGCTGCCTCTAGACGACGATGTGCCTGACCGCATTTTCAAGACCAACATGCATATGGGTGTTCAGATGGGCGCAAATGTATTTGTTATTCAAACAATTTGGGCATTGGACGAGAAAAAGACGACTGTGTCGGTCTGAAACTGGCAAAGACACTTGTGTTTTCCTTTGCAGTGAGTGTAAGATACAGCTCAAGGTGTTTTCTACAGTCTATATTCACTTACCACTAACAAACAATTAACAGTGTAGATGTAATGTCAGCAGTTTGGTGCTTTCAAATGGTCTGTTGGACGTCTGTTTACCAGAATACTTAGACTGAGCTGTGTACTCCTCGAGTCAGTTTCCTGGTTTTCAAAACGCTGCATCACTCAGAGCAGCCATTATTTACCACCTGATAAAAGAGTGAGAGGAATCTAGACAGGAAAGAACTGTAGCTGCCTCCTCCAGTGTCTGTCTCTTCTCTTATCTCCGAGTGTATTCCTCACTTAAACTCCTTCCATTTCTCTCCGTTTCTGTCTCCCTCTCTGGCTCTGGTCATAAATCAGCAGTTACATAAACTGCCTTAAAGTTAGTTTCCACCAATGTTACATGACTCCCTTAAGTAAGAAATGGGATGTTATAGAACCCTAGTTCATATGGTTCAGCCGAGCTTGTTTGTAGCAGAATTAAAGTGTTTTCACCAGGTTTTTAAACAGATATGGGCATAAACACATCATAGTGTGTGTGTGTGTGTGTGTGTGTGTGTGTGTGTGTGTGTGTGTGTGGGCCGCTGCAGGAGAAAACCAGGAGGGAGACAAGTCACTTTTTTCCATGATATAACTTCCTTAAATCAATTGAAACACAACACAGCTCTGGATTTGCTCCGCACACACACACACTACCCACACACGCACACACACACTCACACACACATACACACACACACACTGCATGCACACACACTCACACACACATACACACACATGCGCACACAAGCGCCCGCACACACACTCCCACGCACACACACTCGCACTTGCACACACACTTGTAGCAGTAACATTTACGCTCACTTGGACAAGCAGAACTTTTGCATATGTATGTATAGAACAGACACACACTCAGTGAAGTTACTGCTACTCTACTTTCACCCACCTGCAACCACAAATACACAAACTGCACACTCACACACAATGACAAACGGATGATCTGTGTGCAGAGGTGTGATGGCATTAACTGTGCCAAGAGGAGATAAAAGACACTGTCACCTTCAACAACGGTGAAGGACTGTGTAATTCTGTAATATAGCACCATCTGCTATTTAGTATTTTTAATTCACCTGAAATTACTGGTTGGGTAGCAAAGCAGAAAATGCTTCTTCTATATCTAAAAATACATTGTGTGTATTTTGTAAACTTTAGTTCCTAAAAGTGGATCATTATCTGTCGTTTCGTGATGGTTTCGGGATTGTGACAAACTGATGTTGGGCTCATACAATGATACGTCAATGCACCCCAAGGTGTCAGGCAGTTAACCACCATTTTTAAAAATGTAGGTTTTATGCATTTTTACCTTTATCTGATAGTGACGCTAAGTATATAGACAGGAAATAAGGAGCGAGAACAAGGGAATGACATGTAACATAGATACACAGCAAGAAATCAAACATGTCATGTTGCAGTTATGTGTCTTAACAATTACACCACTGAAAGCAGTTAACTACCATGTTTAACCATGTAATTTTAACAACCCCACACATTTAACGATCACTGATACTGGGCAAAATACCAGTGGCTTTGTCTTTATCTTATAATGTGTGCCAAAGTTCCTTATGGTTAAAACACCTGCTGCCGTCTGTGTTGCTTATTTGGTGAAGTGTTGATATTTGCTCAAACTCCATGTAAACTCATTAGTTATGCAGAAAGATGAAAGCAGTTGTTAACTACAGCTACAGGAAGCTGTAGCTGCTTCACATTTCTAGACTTACAGTGGTTGGTCAGTGGAAAGCTTCAATTCTGAGCCAGTGACAGGAAGTGTTATGTTTGCATGAATTAAAAACCGTAACTCCAAACAGCTGTTAGTTCAAGCAGGGAAGATGAGTCTGCTGCTGTAATGTTGTCTAATTGTGATGAGGACATCAATGAGCTCAACCCTGCACTATTATCCTATCCAACCCAGATAGATGTACACAGAGGTGTAAAAGTAATAAAGGAGCACTTATTTATCATCTGGATGTTGACAAATAGACACAATATCAGTGAAGCAGTTTTGCCACCTGACCCAGAGATAAGGCCGGCCCCCAGAGAATGAAGCTGGAGAAAAGCCCGACCTGACCCGGTGCGTGTTCTGTGTAAATGAAAGCTGGAGAACAAAATGAGAGAATACCATGGTAACCATCTCACCCCGCTCTATCCTCCCATTACCTATGTTATAATGTGTGTGCGTATGTGTGTGTCGAGCTGTTAGCATGAAATGACAGAGTCAGTTTGAAGTATCACATAATTTGCACGAAGGATCCTAGTGATCCTAGTGAGTAATGTTTAGATCCAGGATTTTCTCCCTGGTTAGCTCTTGAACGTCGAGCGTAAACATGGCTTCACACACAGGTTTAACATCGCATACATATTTCTTCAGAATAAAGTATATTCATATATCCCTTTTTGACATTTTGAAAATAAAAAAATCAATGTGTCATCGTGTCAATACAGGACAAAAGCTAAAATACCACATGGGACCATCTAAAGCTGCCACCTGATTCACTTTATTAATTCACTCCAGCTGTGTCAATACTAGAGTTATACAAAATTTAGGATAATATTATATTTGTTCACCTCTTGCCCAACGTTGTCTGGAAAACAATCAAGAGTGTGCGCACACACACACACACACACACACACCCACACACACACACACACACACACACCCACACACACACACACACACACACACCCACGTGCTCTGAGACAATCCATTGCTGCAGGATGTCAGATAAAGCTACTGGCTGTGTGCTAGAGGTGTGTGTGGTGTCAGAGTAATTGCTGCCAACATGCCCAATTTAAAACACACACATAACATGAAAACACACAAAAAATTAGATAGAAGTATGTGTGTGCACAAACACACGGTATTATTTTAGGATATGGACATGAAAACAAAAGTAGGACATGACTTTAGTCTCTGTCTCTTGACTCAAAATGGCCTCTTGTCGTATTAACGCAGCTCATTTCACAACAGGAAAACACTTCTGGATGATGCACCGTCAGGCTCACAGGACATTTGGAAATGCTCAACACAAACAATACACACTGGAGGCTTTAAACTGTGGCTTGAACAAAAAATTCATATAACTTTCTGAGGTCACTTCTGTGTTGTTTTGTGAAGGAATTATCCTGATGAAACATTTACATTAAGGTCATAAAAGCAGGAGGATTCACTGTTTAGAAAGGATTAGTTCAAGACCATTAACACATAACAACTCCTTTATCTAACTTAATGCTATTGATTGATTAAAAAACATACTTATATTCAAATGGACTTTGGAAAGTAAAGCACAACAACCTTTCTCCAGAAACCAAACTGTAAATCCAGTCTAATCAGCACAGCAACTACACTAACCTTCTACACAGCGTCGCCCCGCATTGACGGATGGAGTCAGTGGATATCTGCGACTATGACACTTAAGATAAAATGACAAAGACCTGTTACATGCTCCTGGCTCGTCTCCACTTCGTTAAGTTGGAGCTCGGAGGCACGAGGCAAGAGATAAAGTCTCACAGCAGATGAGAAGCAGGGAGAGAGGGAGGGAGGTGGAGAGAATGAGAGAGTGGGGAGTATATTGAAGGGAGATCCAAACCACTTGTTATCCACGTTTCCTTTTCTTTCTACCCTGTTTGGGCTAAATGTGGGCTGGCATGCCTTTGTTTGAGGCACGCAGGGAGTGGGGGGTTATGGAGGGTGATGGGGGGTTCTCAAGCTGGACACTTGTTAAGATAATTCCTAAAAAAAAAACTCCTTTGGATAAAATGCCCTCATCTCATCAGATTATTGGATTTCTTTAGAAAAAAAAAAAAAAAATCAAAATTGACCATGGTACTATAAGAGTTACATTTTTGCAGCACATACCTCTGAGGCTTTCCCATCCCCTCCGAGGGGGGGCAGGTGGCAGCTGCTCTGCCCCTCACCCTGCCTCTGGCTCTCTCCAGCCCACACTACTGCCTCTAACATTAGCAACGCTTTGGAAGGAAAAGCCATGTGGAACTGCCCATCACTTCCAGCTACTCGACACATAACATGCTCTGCCCCCATAATGATCACACTACCCCTCTCTGTCTCTCTCTCTCTCCTATCATCACTCATTTCCTGCAGGGGGTTTGAAAACAGATCTGGCTGCGTTTGCTGGGGGAGAAAGCAGCTAGTCTTCTTCACACCCTGATCAGGGCTCTCCCTTCAAAACTCAAACATCACACTACATCTCTGCTGTTATCTGAGGGTGACAAAAGGAGTTCCGTGACATTAACAGAGCCTCATTCACCTAAAAGACAACTTCCCTTCTGCACAAGTATGTGACTCAAATGCATGAGCTAAAGGCTGTCCCCTATCCAGCTTTAACTTGCTGCACACTCCTCTGGAAACAACCACTGGCTTCTAAAGCACACAACATTCATACAAAGAGAAAACACAGGAAGCTTACCTCACTTTGTAGCGACGTACAAGCTGTTCAGCAGTCCATCACCCAGCACTTTCTCCCTAGACTAAGTTTGTGGCAGCAGCTGCAGAAGAAGCAACAGGCGAGAATAAAGGAGTGCACCGGAGAGAAACAAAGATGAAAGCAAGAGAGAGGAAGCTAGAAGAGCGGTGAGGCGAAGAAGAGGAGTGAGAGTGAACGACGGAGACAGAGCCAACGCTGACTGACAGACTAGTTTGAGCAGGAGGTTTGTTAAAAGCCCACAAACTAACTCGCTCCTCTGCCTGCCTGCCTCCCCAGCTTGACGTCAGAGCGGTCACATGACCTCAGTCTGGTGTGGAGGGGAAATGAAAGAGGAGGGGAGACAGAGAGATAGACAGAGAGGGAGCGAAAGAGAGAGAGACGGAGAAGCCTGTGTTGCCTTGGTAACAGGCACACTGCACCGCAATGATTTCAATAGGTCATCTGACACACACACACACACACGCACACATACACACACACACAGACACACACACACAGATTCTTACACACAGGAGCTGGAAAAAGCCAAACTCAGAGCTGCACAGACAGACTGCTCTGGACAAGATGAACAGAGTGAAGGGAGAGTTAGAAACTGATACAAAGTGGTTCAAGTTTCCTATGTTGTTGTTGTTTTTCACAGTTCTCAGAAATACATGTAATCAGAAAAAGAATGTGCACCAGACAAACTGCACTTTTGAACTTGTGCTTAGGCTCTTAGCACCAAAACAAGCATGTTCTGCTCTTTACACCAGTTTGTTTTTATTATAATTTAAGACCTTTTTGAGGGGCAAGAAAGGCCAGATTTTATTGTATCTTTGAGGCTTTTCATTGTTTATTTTTAGCAGATTAGATTAAGATTATTTATAAACAACATTTTATGTATTTGCCATGATTTGATTCTAAAGACAGAGGTCGATGTGTATCTGGACAAATGAAAACATGACTTATTAGAAATGTCGCCACTCTGATGTTCCCAAGAATCCTCCAGTGATTAATTCAACACATGACTAACAAAAGAGCTATATCTGTATAAAGGAGCATGGAGAAAAAATAAATAAGAAATGAAACTTTATTACTTCAGGGGAGAGGGGAATACACTCGCTCTAGCTTCAATAGATTTTTATTTCATTTATATCACACTGTGAGAAGAGCTGAAGAAGCAGGCCTCAACAGATTTCAAATATAATGCTGTGATTAAACAGCCAATCAGAATTAACAATGAAATCAACAAAGGTGACAATTAACAGTGGGGATATGGGTTTGATTAGAACCTCATGTCTCATTAGAGTAGAGACTGAACTGGTTTATTGCTGTCACTGTCACTGCCTGACTCTTTCAGGTGTTTGGCACAAGAGATGTCAGAAACTTCTGTCTTCATCCAGTAGCACAGAGCTACTCAAGTGGATTTGAGGTTGCTATGGTACATAACAAAAAATACAACAATATAACGGATAAAATGACCCTTTTATATTCATAATACGACCAAACCTTGTCATTACTTTCTATTTCTGCAACTAATACATTTGTGAACAAGAGGAAAACCTACTGAATTCTGGAAAATGTCTAAGATGTCCAGTTGCATTGTGCACAGATGTCCATTTGTTAAGTGCAACAGCAAATACTGATATTGAGTGTACTGATAGTTAATTACTGTTTTCTTTGCTTATATTAAACAATGTCTTTTATGGTCTTAAAAAATATGTATTAAATCAAAGCAGCTCGCTGCATTGGTACATTTATGTAGAGCTGCAACAATTAGTCGTTTAATCAATTAGAAAACTTCAGCAACTGTTTTCATAATTAATTAATCGTTTGTCATTGTTAAAGCGAAAATGATGGTTGAATGTTACAGGTTCTCAAATGTGAGACTAAATAGGACTTGAATTGACCTTTGGGTTTGGACTATTAATCCGACAAAAGAAGACCTCTGAAGACTTGGAGTCTGGAAAACTGGGATGTTTTAGAAACATATTTGATAAAATAATCAGCAGATTAACTGATGATTCAAATAATTGTTGGTTGCAGCCCTACATGCATGTGTGTGTTTAAAAGAAACTCTCTGTATTCAGAGATTTAACTTTTTTTCATAGTGGTCTGTTGAAGAATCACCTCCAACTTCCAAAATGTGCTGTGCATTGTGTGAAGTTTATCTGGGGAGGGGCTCGTCTATGAGACAAAGACTGAGGGTGTGTAGTGTGGGAAGAAAAAAAACGATTTCAGGGCCAACCAAAGACCCTCCTTATCCCATCCTCCACCAAGCTGTGAGTATGAACAGCTTTGGTCTGATTACATTCATTTGGAGAGCATCTGCTGGCCTGTTGAATGGAGTGCTGTGGGGCCCAGGGCAGGGTGGGGTAGTGTGGAGGGTGGGGCTGAGGTCAGCCAAGTGAAAACCACCCCCCTCTGGACTACTGTGAGTAAGGGTATGTGTGACTGATTAAGAGGCACATGGACAGAGACATGAGATGAAATGCCACACGGCAGAGAGAACTGACAGAATACATGGAGAAGTAATGTAATAAAGCCTGCAGCTAGGATAAACATGACTGTAAAGATCCTATGGAGGAGTCCAACAAGAGACGGGAGTGAAAGCCATTAAGGCAGAGAAGAGCAAAGCACAGGGAGCTCAGATGATGTAAGAAACTGAAATGAGTCTGACTGTCGGGTGGGTAAATTGGTCGAGGGATAAATTAGTTAGATTAAAGCCTGAGTCCTGGGATTAGTGAGCTGACTGGTGATGCCTGGGCTGATTAAGGTGAACACATGGCCTTTCAGAATAACTTTTTGAGCAGCACTGTCTACCGTGTTAGAAAGGCCAAGTTGCTTATACTGTTTCACGTGTGCTGCCTTTGAGGGTGGGATGAGACGCTGGTCATCATAATAAAGGGTCGGGGAATGATAAAAGCAAAGTATTCATTAGTATGTGAACAGGCTGCTGAAAAGTTACTGCAATACAGGTAACACTCAGTCACTGTACTGCATGTCTGACATTTACACATCTCTGCATACCTGGCCCTATCACTGCGGAAAGGGAGAATGCCTGTAGATTTTCAATCTGGTAAAAACAGCTGCTGTAGACCTTTACCTGAGAACCTCGTGCTAGTTCATGACTTGCGAACCTTTCTAAGAACTGGTTTGCTCTTCCATGAACTCAAGAGCCACCATAGAGCCACGTGATTACATCACTGTATCCATCCATATGCATCTATGCTTTGCCAGCATTTGCCAGCTAACAACTGTGGACTATATTGTCTTTTTTCAAGACTGTTTTGCTTTGATTTGATTCATTGATTAATTGACTTTATTGTCCACCTCAATGGAAATTTGTCTTTGGCTTCTCCCAAAGTAAAGTAAAAATATATACAATCCGCAAAACGCAACACACCATTAAAACCATACAACATGTCAACTTACAATTGTGCAAATGAGCAGCTAGCAGCAGATGGTTATATAAATACCAGAGAGCAATTTCATGATTTCACCCTCTGGTTTTTTCTTCTTCTTTGGATTAGGAAGACAAGATGCTCTGTTTTTTTTTTTAAAAAAGAAGGTGGACACAAAGTTTTAGTTGGTCTTGTTGGTCACCATAACCCCCGCCCCGCTGCTGTGGAATCAGTTTTCCTGGCCGCGAGCCAGTTCTCTGGCTGTTACAAATGTGAAGAACTGGTTTGAGATCAGGCAACAGATCAGAGCCTGCCCTTGGTGAAAAAGGGTTACTTATTAATTTTTAAAAGGTTCTTTTCACTGCGTTTAGTCTCTCTGTGCAGGACTTCTACAGAAGCATGTAACCAGCTCCTGTGTGTGTGTTAGGATGTAGGGTGGGTAACAGGCACTAGAGGGAATTCCTTCCTGCAGAATGCTCAGGAAGCAACAGCATGGGCGGAAGAGAAAACAACGTCTCTTTCCAAGGCAAACCCTTCAGAAGTTCTTCCTTTAGAAGAGGAAACACTCCCCACACTGTGTCAATGTTAGAAACTCATGTCGAAATAACTCCATCATTGTCTGCAGCATGTTATTAAAAGCTCAGGGCACACGAAGTCAGGTATCAGACAACAGACTCAGACTCACTAATAGAATGGTAAATCAACACAAAACAGGGCAATGACAAATGTCTGCTTATGTTTTTGTAAGGGTGAATTGTTGTTGGATAGTGAGACCTTGAACCTGAAGGTTGGACCTGTATCAGAGAGCTGTTACGTTAATCTCAGCAGCTGGACTGGAGCTATTAGATAACAACAGATTATAAAATGGATAATCAGCTGCCAGTGAGGGAAGGCCCTGAGCTGCTAACAGGGTTGGAGTGTCCAACAAATCAACGAACACATAGTGAACGCAGACACACAGTGATTCCTCTACAGCTTTTGAAGGTAGGAGGTGGTGTTGGTGTTTCACCATTTTACTCAATGAATTTAGAGCAATATTTTGAGAAAAACATTTGTAAATGCATCTGTAACAGGATAAGCTTAGTAGCTATAAAGGTGTATTTTCATGTTCCAAGTAACAGAGGGAACAGAGCTCTACAGATATCCCTGTGGACAATGCATAAACTGAGTCTCTGGAACATTTGATTTCAGTTGAAATTGTGTTAAAACAATATTTATGACATACATCCCTGAAATGCCAAATTTTCATAAGATTGGGACACCTGTGATAGGGGCACGATGTGAGTGGTTTTATCTTGATAAAGCCTCTGTGACTTAAGCCTATGATACACTTGCCTTTAACTACACGTTCACATGGGCTTGATGACGCACCAGTGTATTGTGTTGTTTCTGAAGAAACAACAACAATGGCTTGAGGTTTTGAAGAGAAACTAATTTATAATGTTCTGTACATACAGATGGATGTACACTTGGTTTATTTCTGCAGTAAAACTGGACATTTTAACATGGGAGTCTATGGGGATTGACTCACTTTTGGAGTCAGCTTCAAGTGGTCATTTGAGGAACAAACACTTTCGTGTTGGCTTCATTTGTCAGCCCCAGGGGTTGCTGCTTGTTTTTTCTGCTGTGATGCCAAAATTAAAGAATAGGTTCACAATTTTTAAAGCCTCTCTAAAAT